GATGATGATGATGATGATGATGATGATGATGATGATGATGATGATGATGATGATGATGATCTGCTGCTGATGCTGCTGCTGCTGGTGCCTGTGATGTGGTGGTGGTGCCTGTGATGTGGTGGTGGTGGTGGTGGTGGTGGCGGTGGTGGTGGTGGTGACGTTGCAGGCCGCTCAGTGATGACCCTGTTTCCCGTTGCTGGTTTACTGTGACACTAGGACCTTGAACTTGGTGCTCCCAGCGGATTCAAGGTCTCCCCCCAACCTCAGTGGACTCGGGCCGCACTCTGGCCTGCTTGCGGTGCTTGGTTGCGTGACAAAGGAATGATGGCCATGCGGACCACATCGGTGGTCGTGGAGCGTTGCGGATCGAAAGAAGGCATCACTCGTGGGAGCTGTCCTGAGAAAGCTGTGGCAACGGTGGGCTTGGAGGAAGGCCGGAGGCCGCGGGTAGCGAGAACTGCTCCCAAATACTACACGATTCCCATTGACCATAAGTGGGGAATTCCATGGAATTCCATCCGTAGTCGGTCGAGTTGAGAAGTGGGAAGCGAGCAGCGAGAGAATACTTGGCTCACCGCCGCAAAGGAAACACTATGAATGGAGGGTGATGGTTTACTCACATATTCAAACCCTAATGTGGAACAAGCTTCCTGTCAATCTAATTCTAACCACTGCGTGTGTCCTAAGGTGGGGGAGGAGGGATCCCCGCCCTAAATCAATACGCTATCAATTCGTTGAGGAGGTTCCAATTGGATTCTTTCACGCCAAGTGCGGTGGGGGGCGATCGCGATCGATATATCAAGTTGGTCCTTCGGAACCATCCATTCTGGGCCTCCCCTTGTAAACGAACACTTCAGCAAAGCTCCTTCATAGATTCCTTTCAGACATGCCAAGCGCGCCTCTCTCCAAGTCTTGGGCCCTGCCATCGAAAAAATGCCAACATCAAAGGTGTCCGTTCATTGGATTGGAGCCCTGCCGTATTGAACATCGCCAACAAATACTCCAACAAATAGTTGCGGCTCCCGAAAAGACGCAGCTGTTTGCAGGTTTGAAGGCCAAAAAAAGGGAGCACACCCGCAGCACACTTTGGAGCGCCAAGGGCCGGGCTTCGGAAAGCCGTTCCCTTTCGGAACGCCGTGGAACACGGCCATGGTGCGGCGTATGCTTCGGTTCAGGTGTTTGAAGCGGTGCAACATGTGACCTAATGGTGACCTAATGGTGACGTAATGGGTCCTAAGCAGATCGAAAGGGTTGAAAAACTTTCGGATGGGCTTGAAAGCTTGGACCAAACCCGGAGGACCCAACGCCGCGTTCAGACCGTCGAGCATCGCCAGAAGTCGAGCAGGGAGCTCACGGTGAAGCCACGGTTGGCCAAGACCTTGACCTGGGAGCCCAGTCAAGGTTTTTGTTGAGAGACTTGATGGATGCCATGTGGGTTTGTACACATGTCAACAGCTAAACTAAAAGAAACACTTTAGAAACACCGGCAATCACAAGAAAGCGGGCAAAAATCACAGGGTTGCCTATGCTCTTATCAATCTCCCAAAGTGGTTTGTTCGTTTCGTGGTGTGGGTCAAACAGTTCAGAGAGCAAATACGTGTTTTCTTCCCATGTTGGCATTACACTAGGAGCAAGGACGCTACTAGGGGGCTCCTGGCATCGCTACTAGGAGCGTTCGGATGCTACGTTCGGGGCTCCTGGCTACAAGGAGCGATCGGACGCTACGTTCGGGGCTCCTGGCATCGCCACTGGGAGCAAGGATGCTACTAGGGGGCTCCTGGCTACTAGGAGCAATAGGACGCTACGTTCGGGGCTCCTGGCCATACTACTAGGAACAAGAAGCCATTAGAAACGCATGTTGGCTGCTTCGTTCTTCAGCCACAGCCACATGGGCCGCCCAGATCTTCTCATCCGCCCCGACGGGGATCGGGATCGTTCGCACTCGGCTGATCTCTCGCTGCACATTGGGCGGCTTTGGGGTCCACAGAAGCCCGGATAAGGTTGCCACGCTCACCGCCTGGAGGGCAAGAGGGGTGCGTGAAGCATTTTGGCAGCTTAGCAGCTGAGCAGGATGCATTTTTTCCTGCGATGAGTGAAGAAGGTTTCCCGAAACAAACCGTCAAAAGCATTCCTGGAATTCTGCAACACCGGGGGAGCTGGAATCCACAACTGAACAGCTGCAACTCTTTGCGAGCACAGGCATGGAAGGCTGGTAGCAAGTGAAAGTCAAAGGCAGATGCCAAGATATGTTCACGTTCCAAAGGTCTCCAACGTGTGCAAACTCCACTTAAGAAAGTTGTGCCCGTCATTGCTTTTCGAAGAACCTCCGGCCTCTTGAAAAAACTCAACGAAGGAGTTCCACAACTTTTGTGAACCCTTTTCTCGCCCACAAGACCGCAAGTCTGCTTCCATCCGTGCAACCTTGATGTCCTTCAAACAGCCCCCAAGCCCTCCACGACCCGTTGGAAAAAACAACGCAAAAAGTGACGCCACCTTAATGAGCATATCCAAGCGTTGCCCCGTGATATAGACGACCCTCAAGTAGTCCTCGGCCGCATCATCGTCGTAAAGCTCCAAGATCTTGTAAGGAATCCAGGTCAGTTGGGTGCCTGTCACTGGTCGGCACGGATACCCTACCTGAAGGACCTGAAGGAGGAGGGAAGGTGTCCATGCGTTTCCCTTTGCAAAAGGCCTGAGTCCTTGGTTGGGTGTTTTCAAGCCCGCTATATAGGGAACAAGAGTCAACACAAGACAGGCGAGTGGTGGCTCTGCAAACACCTCTGAACGGGTATGATGTGTGGGGGGAGCTGTCATAAAAGTTACAGTATGTAGTTAGACCATGTTGCAAACCCGCTTTGCGAGTTGATTGCGCTTCAGGAGCCAACAAACGGTTGTTTGAAGGGACACAGTCAGGACCCCCAAAACAGCAGCGGAACTGACCAAAACAAGGCCCCAAAGAAGGCCCGCTTTGGATCGGCTCCTCTTCATCCCGTGAGTGAAAAAAGCGGTGTCATCACCCGCTGAACGACCAAACGACGCCTGCGGAGGGTGAATGCGACACTTCTCATCAGAACAAAAGCCATGCCCCAAGTTCACCAAAAAGGTCAATGGATTGCCCCTGCCCCTATGACTTTATAGACCATAGATTTTAGTATATATATATATTATATATATATATAGTTATATAGTTTACATCTTGAGTTCTACACTTGGCCTTTTGTACATGTCCGCGTCCCAGCTCAGCCCCAGTTCACCACCCTCGTGGCTCCAAACTGGACATCTACGCCCAGCTGCAGGAAAAGGCAATGGCCAAGCAGGTGATGAGTTCCATCTTCAACATCCTGAGCACTGCTGAGCACCCCATCGAGTCTCGGGAAGCACCTCTGGAGAACCCCACTCACAACTCACTACTCATCGCGACTCGGAGCCCAACCTCCGAGCATTTGGGGAGGATCCTTCTCCCCCCTAAGGAGTGAGAGACATTAGTTACTGTGATACAAAGACCCAGTCTTGTATGAAGGGTAAATGGAGGGTGTGTGGAGAAAGGGGGTCAGCAAAAATCGCTTGTACGAAGTTAGTGCATCAAAAATACCTTCCACGAAGCTCTGCGAAGGTTTCTGGGATTTCGTTGCAGTCAGTTCTGCTACTGGCCCACCATTCCACGAACTGTCCACGAATAGCCTTGGGTTCTACGAATGTCCCGCGCCTTCCACGATGTTAGTAGAATAGGTTTTTGCAAAACCCTTTCTGTGCACTACCCTTCCGTTTGCCTCTGATTGTAACCCATTTGCTCGGATCCTAAATCCTATTCAGACACACAAGTTAACAGATTCCTCAGCCTTTCACCAAGTAACATGTCAGAACATATGCCAGAACACCCTTTTAGGACGAGGCATGGACGTGCTGGGTGACTAGCAGTTTGATTCGTTGAGTGAATTCGCGACACGCCCAGCATCTCCCACCTGTTCCACTTCTCCAGTTCCAGGACACCACGGCAAACAGGGTGGAACATTACCGGCCGGGAAACCTCCCCGCAGTTGGGGGCTCGGGCTCCAACAACAAGGACAGTGACAACCTGTGATAACATGTTGTTCCAACTATGAAAAAAAACTTAGAACTTCTAACATCTTCTAAGTAAAATCGACTAATGAATACTAATGAGCAGGGATCTAGGGATGTGGAGGGTCAAATAGGATCAAGGATTGTCGAAGGGAGGCCCGGTGTCGAACCAACCCCTGCGCCAAAGATTCCGTTTCGCCCAGAGGGCCTCTGCATGGGGCGCCCCTGCGGTGTTATCGGCCTCGCGTTGAAGCTTCTGCCGACTGACACGGAGGCACTGGGCGATGTTCAGGCAAACCAACAGCCTGGGGAGCCGAGACGACGGACGGATGGGACGGGAGACGTGTGGCAATGAGCACCCCTCCCTCCAACCAAAGTGGAGATCTGTCGAATGAAGGCTTTTGGACTCCATTGAACACAGTCATGCACTGAGATGACCTCTAAGTCTCTCAGTTGTCAAATTCTTGGGCGGACCGGTGTTCTATATGCCACCCGATCCCATCCAACGACACTCTGATGAGTCATTTGGGACCTGCAAAGTTAACTGGTGTGGACATTTGGCCTGGCGACATCCACGCCGAGGGAAACCAAACCATCCCGAAACCTTGGGTTCAAGCGGATACAGGATTTTCTGTTTGACGCCGAGGATCCAAAGGAAGACAAAGGTTCCAGATAGGACCAGCTGACTTACCACTGCCACCACTGGTCGGCCCTCGTTGGGGTCGAAAAAGGTGTCCACTGCGGCGGTGAGGTGAATGCACAAGGTCGCTACGTTCACCTGGAGTGCCATTGGAGGGTGACAGTGAAGCATTTTCGAGCGAGAGAAAAGAAGGATGAAGACAAGAGAGAAAAGACCGCCCCCCACCATGTACATCTATTGGAATAGGGCCACGCTCCATATTCCATATTTCCACTAACCAGATGGCCAAAAGGTCTATCCTTCAATACTCAAGAGGGGTTGCATACGCTATGACTTCTATAGACGGCGGGGCTGTGACCACCTGCACAAGAGTTGACAAACACAGCAAACGACATGGCTTTAACGGCTTTAAGGCCAACCCCAAGGTCTGATCCTCAAAGCTTCTGGGGGATCTTACAGGCGGAATTGCCAGCACACGCCCTGGACACGCCCCTCCGCCCACGTCACACAGACCGAGTCCAAGTCACTAGGGTGATGGCGTGCCTCATGACAAAGGAGGGCGTCTTGGGCAAGCAGTCGGTCGTACGGCTCAGCATCAGCCAAGCAGACCAGCGAAAGACCGTTGCCTCTAAATGCCGCGCAAAGCACTTGGCCATAGGGTCATAGCACTCTACAAGGACATTGGTCAGCATCAAGCCCAGAACCTGACAGAAGCACGGCAGTGGACAAGTGGATATTCCTATAGAAGGAAAACATCTGGGAAGACCAGAGACTGAGACTGAGACTCAGTCAAAACCATGCAATGTATGACCGTTAGTGAATTCAGGTGGTGCAATTTTTTGGGATATCAACAGCAAATTGACAGGTGAATTGCTTCCCTTGTGCCAAATCCAGCCTCCATATACTCTCTCCCATCACTTTATATACCAAGGAGCCAACATCCAAATGCCCCAAATGGACCAAATGGCATGCCTCACATAGCTCGACGCCGGATGCCGCAAGGAGACGCACAACGCTGCGAGGCCCGAAATGCTCACGCAAGCCACGGTGTCCACGATCCGGATCCAGTGGCTGCTGCGAAAGGGCATGTCGGAGCGGAAGCGGTTGACGGCAATACCTGCCGTTTGACTCGATCCGCAGCTGCCGGGTTAAGTACTCAGGCTGTGAGGCCGGAGGTCTTTAAACACTTATTATATAAGTACCTTATCTGAGTTCCTGTGATGCGCTATTCAAAGGGCCTGGGCAAGTGCCAAGCTCCATGACTTCTATATAGCCTCTGTGATCTATCTTCGAAGCTATCCTTAGGCTGATCTTTGTGGAGCGCTCCCAGCCTGGACACCAAGGTAGGAAACACAAAGACCCAAACGTCACGATGATCACCACGCTGCAATAGCGCCAGAAGCGCCGTGGCGGGGTCTGCGTCTGGCTGGTGCGGAAGTGCAAGGAGGCCGGGATGAGGCCCAACAGACTTCCCAGAATCCGAACCAAGCGATTGGTGGATAGGACTCCTGAGACTGCACAGGCGGAAAAAATGGCAAAAACCAGAAGCCAAAGGGCGAGGAGGCCTAAGCGCTTGAAGGCGGTCATGGCTGGCCAATCCCAATCGCCATGCTCTGGGCCCATCTCGCAGACAGAATGAATGACATGAATGTACAACATATTACAACATCTATAATAGGAGTCCTATTTGGGATGGTCATGCTCGGCCCCCTTGCCCTTTGCAGGCTAAAGATCACCAGGGCCGACACACACCATACAGGTCGAATCCTCACACGATGTCCAGTCGTGCTCGGTGTCCGCCGAAGGCCGACCATTCTGCCGCCCGCATTGTCTTTGACTCTTCGGATGGTCCTCCTTCGCGGCCCGTCTCAGTTCACTCCCTGTCTGCCATTCCAGGTCCAGCCAAACGGACCGAACGCCGGCAACAGGTTTACTGGCAGAGACGGGGACCCTGCAGGTCCAGTCTGACCCAGGCCCCATATTGAGTCATTTGATGTCATTTGTGTCTGTGCAGGCGTAAAGCTCCGGTTTAAAAAGGGATCTCTTTTACACCTGCAGGATTTCATACTGTGAGAACATGATAGAACTCCATAATATGGGAAAAAGTAGATGCCCCCCGTAGAAAGTGCCTTGGAAACAATGCCGCTAGCTAAATAAATGTGGGTGTCACCAAATATATACCATTAAACAAAACACGTCACACCATCTCTTCCCCCTATCTCACATGGTCATCACCTGGTCATCTACCTGGTGCCACCTAAACCGCTCTCTTCCTCCCGGCTGGGTCTCCCGGTCGGTGTCTTCGGCGGTCTTCTTCAGCGTGGGCTTCAACTCTTCCAGCTCCGCCTGGCTCCGTCCGGTCGGTCGACGGTCCGCGAGGCATGGCACGTGAAAGGGGTGTTTTTGACGGTGTGAAACGGGGTGGGGCGGTGACGGGGCGGGAGAAGCCAGGTATACCTTAGGTGTCTACCTTGGTATACCCAAGTGATGGAGACTTGGTGAGCTTGGCAGGCTCTGTGTGCTTCAGAGGTGATGCCAAGCATCTGTCTGTGTGATTGCGCGACATCTCCACTTTTGTGAGCCGCCCATGGAATGACGACTGCTACCGTGTTACAACACTTCACCTGACAAAAGCACAACGACAACTTGATAAACAGGTGAACAGTCACCGGGGAGGGTCATGGCTCACATATGCTCACATTCATTCAACCCATGTGGAGATGAGTCATGGGACCCAGGAATTTTCTTGCTTGACCCACCCTAAACCGGTCCACCTACTCTTCGGGTTAGACGCATGGGCTCAGGGACCGGGTGCCATGACAGCATGACCCATCATCCCATCGCCATCCTGGCAGCCCAGGGCAGCGCCTGCATGGTGGTGACCTGCTCCTCAGTGCTCATGATCTTATCTAAGCCCACATCATACCTCGCAGGATAGACATGGTCTGTCTCACGTTTTCTTGGCTCTGACAAGAAGAAGAAGAGGGACAAAAAAAAAGGGCTGGGTGAACGATGAACAGTGAACAGGTTTCTGAAACGGAGATTTGCCGTCTTTCCTCTACAACCTGGAAAATGGGAGCTATGTCACCGCGGGGCATCCAAAACGCGTAGAGTTTGGCACCCCCTAGACCTGGAAAAGTCCTGTGAGTGCTGGATGCAGCATGCTGCCGGGATCTGCTGGGGTGTGCATGGTCTGTCACTCGGAACGGGTTCCCGTCCGGGTCTTTCATCTCCCCACGCCTCGACTTGATCTTGGAGACCTCGTCTTGCTTGATTGAGAGGAGGCCTGGAGCGAAGAACTGTTTGGTCTCTAGAGTACTTCCAACTCCGCGATGAAAACCATGCTCTTTCGACAGTCTATAGACCAAACAATGAGCGGAGTAGCTCAGAAGTAGAGTGTAGAGCTGTATGAGGTATACGGTAAACTCTCTATGAGGCTACATGCTTCCCATGAGCTCTACATCTGCTAACTCCACTTGAACCACTTCTTCCGAGCATTGGAGGCAGAAGGACACACCGGACACCCTCGGTCGGAACGCTTCGCTCGTGGCGACTGAACACATGGCGAAAAATCCATTTTTGCATGAGACCAGTGTCTGTGCCCAAATGAAGGCCCCACTAGGACTGACATCAACACAGAAGGTTTGGCGAAGGCACTGTCAGGCTGGTGTTTATAGCAGGTGCGCATTCTTCGATCTCCAGCCCTACGACTACACCGCGTGCTTGGGCAAGATCTGCCAACTATTCTGCAGCCGATGGCCAACTGCGATTATAAATCAGAAGTGGGACTATATATACATTGACTCACGCCCCCCAACACAAAAAAATGGCGCCACGAGCAGCCAAGGACAATGCAAACACACACTCTCAAGTACACTAAAAACATGAATGCACAAGTGGGCTTTGGAGAGAGACGGGAGTCTTCCTCTGGCCGTCCTTGTTCCACTCAGGGCAGGTGATTCTGGTCCTTTTGATGGGCTCACTCTCATCGGGGCCTTTGAAGGCATTGATGAGTTCCAGGTATGACGTGGGAGTGACCTCAACAGGGCGGCGTTTCGGAGCCCCGCAGTCCGGCAGCCGTTCGGAGTGTCCAAGGACGCGCGGACCTTCCATCGAGATGCCCCACGGGGAAAAAGGAGTCACAAATGATGCAAACAGCTCAGCCTGCTCGCTTGAAGGAACGTAGGTTCAAAATGCTAGACTGGTGGACATCCAAAACCACCGGAAACTTCTTGTGGGTGATTCCACACCCAGTGGCGTGAGCGATCTTCCAAGCCAAATCCACTAGAAATCCTACCCCGCACATGGCACAAATTAATGAAAATAAAAAAGGAAAAAAATCACCCGGACGGTCTGGGGCCACGCACATAGTAATAGCGCTGCACTTCTTTCTGGAACCTCTCGGCCAACGTGAAGACCTTCAGTGAACTATGCGTGCGCGGACGCCGCTGCAGCTGCCGGAACACCGGTATGGCTGGCATGGCGCCGGTATCGACAAAGGTGAAAGCTGAAAGACCATATTATATAACAAGGTCTGCATGAAGATATGACAAGTGCAGACTCATGCAGACTCCACTAGTTCTTCAGAACAGCTTCAATAGCCCAGTAAAACCCGGTCCTACTGCCGATCCTTTACAACCATTATATAAGTGTATATATTTTTTTAAATATGCATATTATATTATTATATAATATATATATATATAATATATATATATATATATACAGTAAGTCATTGAGTCGTGTTTGTGTATGACCAACTCCAGTGAAATGCGGTCAGTCTTTGACTGTTGAAGTTCTGCCCTCATCCAGGCCGAGTGCGCATGGAACTACGACGCCGCAGTGCGAAGGTCGCATGGTCGCGCATGGCTGAGTCTTTGACACTCTTCTGCATGGCCACACAGATGTTGACCACACCTTGGAGGATTCACTTTTCGCCCGCCCAAACAGATGGTGCAAAGGTTCCATTCTGTTCCATTCTGCTCACGTACGAGTTTGGCCCCCGCGAAAAAAACGGCGTTCATCGTCGGTGACGCCCCACGCCAACACGGTCGACCTTCGGCCGTTGGTCGGCGCGGAGGTCGGAGCGAGGTCGGGGCCGTTCAGGACGTTCTCCGGCATGCCGATCTTCCCGAGGAAGTGGTGCGCCACGCTCTGCAGGGCGGCGTCGGGCCACTCATGGAACCTGAGACATTCCGTGCGAGCGGCGAGTCGATCCCCGGAGCGGGTGTTGAAAGAGGATAAAGAGGGGAGATGGGACCCAACCTGGGCAGATGGGACCCTACCCACGCTGGCAGCCTACGGAAGCAGCAAACCGGTACTGTTCCGCCTAAGAAGCCACTTTCCATGGCATAATATTGGGAGAGAATGCCTGGCCGTTTGCAGCAAAAGACCACATAGTCCTGGCTGATCTCTTGGTTACAATGCATGCTGAGGCAGGGGCCAGTCGATTGTGCAGCAGTTCACCAGCGATGGGAACATGCGAACCTCAAGTTCAGAAGAAAAACACATTCTCAAGTCATTCAAGTCATACATAACAGTATCAAAAAGGTTGGAAGTCATGCATCATCTTGCACCCCATGTTCAATAGCTCGGCGACCATCCTCAGGTTCGCGGTCCATGAAACCGTCCGATTCACCACAAACCGGTTGAGCCCAGCAGCACGACGTCGGAAATTCTCGCCGATGGGTGAGAAAGCGAGGACCTCGGCGTCAAGAGTGGTCGTTCATGGTCGTTCGGGGCATAGAACTCCCGGGGCCTAGCCTATCCATAGGCCTATCCTAGGGTTCGGTATGCTTGAGGGAAACATGGCCGATCGGAACCCGAATTCGGACACCCCAAAATGGCACGACGACCTCCGGACCGCAAAAAGCACCACGCACACCGTGTGCCGTGTGTGCTGCAGCGTGGACACTTGGGTGAGTACCACGGGATTTGGTCAACATGTTCAATTCCGAGGGACCATGGGTAGGGGAATGTAGGGAAGATAAATAGGAGGGTTGGATATAGAGCCATGGCCATGGCCCACGCGACGCAAGCCTCTTCTATGTGGTATACCGGGCATAACCCAACGATGGTAGCGACGGTGACCGTTGAAACTTAGCACCCCATGGCGTTTACTCGGCTCGACGGGCGAAGAACACGGAGGACACGGAGCTCCAGGCAATATGCATGTTCTTCATGCACTGCTCCACAAAGAAGGCCATGACCTGACAAAATGAAGCACCCTGCAGGGTGGAGGAGAGGAGGACAGCGGCCAACGGCCAAGACACGAAAGGTGAGGTGTTCTCTATTTTCGGGTGGTGGATGAGAAATGATGATATGATATGATATGATATAATGAGAAACTCTGGAGTTTCAAGGAACACAGAGTTTTCTTCATCTTTCTTCACCCGGAGATGTCCTAATCATCAATTCTTGCCGAAACATCGCAAGAAGAACTTTGATGATGGGTCCTCCTAGGCCTGTTGCAATTCAGAATCTTCATAACCCATGGCAGTCTGTGGATGAATGGCCGGGCGGACGGACGTCGTCCTAACCGTGAATGGCGCTCCGGAAGGGAGAGGGTCATCGAGAAAAGCTCCCTTCTCCACATCACTCCCAGAAACTGGCTACAATTAATAATGCTATGAGGTAGACAGTGGATGAAGAAAAATATGCAAAAAAAAACAAAAATACAACTTGCATATCAAGAGGTCTGACAATCCAAACATGGAATATTAATGTCTACAAACCCCCGAGTCTCGCCAAAGCGCGATGTCTCGCCTCGGCGGGTCCGTGGCGGCCCTCCTTGCCCGCCAGGTTGGTGCAAAGCTCCAGGATCTGGGTCTTGTCCTGGCCCGTCTCAGACGTGGGACCACTTCCCGGAGCCCCGGTTTGCGGTCCGAAAGGGCATGGAACTCATGAAAAAAAACAAAAAAAACGGTCTGCCATGGGGAGTGCCATGGGGGCCATGTTCCACTTCCATGTGAGTGTATCTTTGGAAACTTATGATAGTGTGGAGCACCACCTTGGATGGGACTTCTTTTTCACCAGCACGATGCGGGTCAGCGTTGCTTCACACTGACACCGCGTGAAACAAGACGTCGTCCGCCTCGCGAGCTGTGGCCGCGCCCTCTTCGCGGTGCTCAGATCCATCACCATGATCTTCGGCTTCCTCGCGGTGCTCAGATCCATCGCCATGATCTTTGGCTTCCTTACGGCGACAGTCTGAAAAACAACGGCAAGGCCCAGCTAGAAGAAGTTGGTGTGAACAAGGGCAGGACTTCATAGAATGATCGGTTGCCACATGGGTGTGCATTTGGATGGAGAACCCCCCCTTGGTCTTGGTCATGTTTGATCTATATTCCTCTCCCAAACGGTCTTTATATAAGGTGCCAACCCACATGTCGCCGAAAAGGAAAACGGGTGACCCGTCCTTCGGGTGACCCGTCCTTTCATCTCTTCCGGGCATCAATCCAAAAATACACTCCCTGAAGCCAACATGGAAGTGGAACTCCACTGTTTGTAGAGGAAATTGGTCTTGCAAGGGACCATGCCATCCACTTCCACCCTAGAGAAGGGAAGTGTAATCCAACACATTGGCTAACTGGCGCCAACCGAGCTTCCTCCTGTTTGCCATCTAGCTCCTGCAGAGCCCGCTGCGACAAGAGTTCCAGCAGCGTTCTCCGTGGTAAGCTGGGATCGATAGGGATAGGATCGTTCGAGAAAAGGCCCGCATGGGCCTCAGGGATAGTCATTGCTGAAGGTCTGCGTTCTTGTCTTTATAACTCATGAATGAAAACATGAGAAACCACTCCACAATCTGGTCTCAAATCTTATAATATGATGGTCATTTAAAAACGTGGTTTACCAAACAGTGTTATCCATGTTTGGTTTCCTGTCAAGCGTTCGGACTACAAATGTGATGAGTGGTGTCCTTTTCTTGCTCAAAATCGGAAGGGCGATCCCTGACCTGAAGTCTCAAATAGAACGGGCAAGCAGTGAGATGGTGCTCAAAGCCGGACCGTGCCATGACCTTGGAGATGAAGTGAACTGCCAGCCAACTGGCAAAGCCCACGCCGAAACCGACAATGAGCCACACTATCCAGTGTGCATCCTCCGAGATGAGGGCGACCATGGTAAAAATCACCCAAAAGAAGAAGCAGAAGAAGTTCATGGCAAAGAGCATCCCCAGCTCCGTCAAGACTGGAATTCCAATGGACTCCATGTACACGCGCAGGTTCGCGTTGCTCACGTCCGCCACCATCACACTGGCAATGTGCGACCAACCGAAGTGAGCATAAAGCATAAAGCTGAAAAATGCGCTGAAGACCTAAGGATGGGAACCGACAGAGTCCAAAGGCTCGCAGCTGAATTGGGTGGAAAGCCAAAAATGTGTTTTGTATGGTTTTGTTTGTCTTCTTTCTGCTTGCCTTGCGAGGCGTGAGGCTTCTCAGTAGCGAAACAGTTTCCCTTCACTCGCCTTCATTTCCACCCAGTCTTTCTTACCCACCATGCTTGCCCCGGCGCCAGGTATGCAAAGCGCGTCCGGCTCAAGGGCCACCCTTGATCATCCCAGCGCATCTCTTGGCAAACCCCCGTTGCGGTGGGAATCACGGTGGCCAATAAAAGAAGCGTCAGGAGGTTGTAGGAATCCTTGGTGTTTGCATGTGTTTGCGTATCAACCGGGCACGGCAAGTGTGCGACCCTTTTCGACCGACCTTTGGCCTCAAACAATGTCACCCGACCGACCAAGGCAGTCAAAGGTTTTAACATCCCTGTGCCTACGAGGAGGAAAAACCCTGCAGTGTTGATCGACGTGACCAACGGACACTGAAACGCACGGAACAGGAGTCCATCTGCGCAGCCAGTGAGTCCTTGATCTCTTCTGGCGCCTTTCCTGACCTGCATTCATGAGCACGAGCGTCAAATCCATCAAGCACAGCTGGCCCCCTAACCAGGCGAAACGAATCAGCTTTGTTTGAGTATACTTAGCCAAAGTCAATACCAGAGTGGTACGGCGTGGCATTGACCAACAATTTCGCAAGCCCAAAAACATCAAACAACCGCGCACCAACTCCCTGGCCTTGCCATCTTTTCAAACCACAGCTTCTTGTGATCCACCGGCACTGCAATGTCCATCCGCCGGACGCGCTGCTTCAAGCGTCGCCACGCTGACCCGCCATGCGTTTCAGCGGAATCAGGTGGCCTCACTGAAAAAGGCCCGCCGGGGAGCAGCAAACCCGTGCAAACGCAAGTGCTCATGATGGCAGGATAGGGCAGTACTAGGATGGTGCGATATGCTTATACTAGGTTTGGCACTTGCATTGGGCAAGGTGGTGTTGCGGTTGGGGCGCTTGGCTTCGGGACAGTTGTTGTTCACCCATTCCTGGAAAAGAAAAGCAAGATGCGACATGGCGTGGACTCTGGACTAGCCCATTTGGGCTCCCGATGGTTTCGGGCAGGCTCGTCTTTCGCCAACCTTGCGCGTCGCTTTCGCGAAGCTTTCGCGTTTTTCCTCGTTCGGTTTGGGGAATTTTGCTACTTGGATCTTCTCTTGTGATCCGTCTGCAAGATTTCTTATTGCTGTCTGTTTCTTTTCGTACGCATCTATGACATTCTGGGGTGTTCACTAAGCTGGTGATACATATCCTTGGGGATATTACATGCTGAGCCACTACTCTTGCAGCTTTCTGCCTATCACGCCTTGCATGGAAACCACTCTCTCTGTTTGTTTTAGACACAAAGATATATGCACAACATGTGCATACATGTATGAATTATCTATGATATATTTCTATCAAGTTTAGCCTTTCGCCAAACCTTTCGCCGCGCTCTCGCATCCTTTCGCCCCTGCAGGTAAACATAACTTCAAAAAGCTAGAATGTCACTCGTCCACTAAAAACATTACACGGGTTTTAGAACGACTCCCATATAAATGGTATATAAGTCTTAAACTCTTGGCACACTCCTAGTGGACTCTTGTAGCACCTACTCAAACGAGACATCAAAGGACAAAAATAATCCATCCGAAAGGGTGCAAATTCACTGCTAGGTCTGGGGGAACTATTCAAATTTCGGCTCACAGTTTGCAATTGCATCACAGTCAAGCACCATCCTGTCAAGGACTCAGCCCACCGTCAGCTTGGGATCACACGGTGGCGACGAAGAAGCAGCATTCTTCTCGTAGCCATTCTCTTCAAGTTCGGCCAGGTATCCTCGGGTAGGCAGCAATACCCCAAAATCGACTTCGAACGAGGCCAGCTGCGCCATGCGATCGGCTTTAGGGCAACTTTAGGGACGGCATATTTCGGAAAATCAAACCAACATTTCCGCCCAACAAGCAAGCCAGTGAGTCCTGTTGCGAAAAAGAACATTGAGCACCAAACATGTCTTGGAAAACTGCCTCAAACTAAACGGCGATGTTCCAAATATTCCAAAATATTCAACAACAGTCTTCAACGTCAACCCATATCAACCCCAATTCAATCCCAGGTCTTCCACATCTCTCGAAACCAAGGAGCCCATGATCTTTGCACGGTCAACCGCACTGGCAATGCCCAGCTCTTCCCAGCCACTATGGCCCAAATGTGGCAAGGCTAAGCCACAGACACCCCGCGACCTGGACGAATTGAGCGACTCAAGGAATCGACCCGGTCGGACCCGGTCGATGGTGAGACAAGATTGGACCCGCTCATGTTGATTTGGAGGTGGCGAACAAACGTGCATCATGGCGCCACGTTTGTGGCCTGGGGGCCCCCAGGTTTGACCTGAAAACTGAAAGATGTGGAGATTCGTGGCGAGGATTAGTTCTTCATCTTGAAGATGGTTTCTGCACGACAAGGAGATGGTAGTGGGTTCAGAAAGGAGCTGAACTCATAAAGTACTAGATTTTTGCAAGACGATAGACATGTTATCAAATGAAATGGCTCAATGACCATCTAAACAAGACCTGGACCAAAGCTACCCGTCATCCACCACGGTTCAACAACAGGAGGGTCCTCGTACCATGATATTGCATTTCAGCCTGAGAAGAAAGTTGCAGTTTCCGAGCCCTTGATTGTTCCAGGTGTGAGCCCTAAGCCATCCTAAGCCTAGTATGGTAAGATCTCAGGCTCTTATCCAACCCTAGCTTTTATCCCTTGGATTTGGACCTCCGCCGGGGAAGTCACCCTGACATCACACTGCCCATGTCGACGGCCTCGCAGCTTCAGCCACTTTGGCAAAGCCGATGGACTTCAGCCACTCCTGGATCCAAGGTGCAACCCCCAAGAAGGTTATATACATAACTCTCTCTACTCTCTCTCTCTATATATATACAAATACAGTAAACTATACATCTTTCAGTTTTCCGTATACATCCATATTCATATCCCCATGAAACACCGAGGCAAAGAGTGGGGGCACCACGGCGCCACGGGATTTCGGATGGGCCCACCTAGGCCTTTGAGGCTTAGGTAGGCTGAAGGCCTCACCTGCTCACCTCACATAAGGAACTGGGAAACTGTTGTAAAGGTGTTGTTCCAACATGTTCCAACCACTTGCAGGTGCACCAATCCCCCAAACACACACATGGACCCCCCCCGCATAGCATTTTGAGGGGTGTAAGGCCTTGAGAATGGTGAGTTTTCTGGAAGATTGCCACCAAGAAGGTTCTTTCTCTTTGGGAGGCTTCGGGAATCTGTTGATATTGCGTCGTTTGGGTCATTCCACAGACGTAAGAGAATCTTTAGGAATATCATATCAACACCTAATTCCGATGGCTGCCAAGTGCACACCCCCGACGTTATCCGGAGGTTTACGTGGCTGTGCCCTTTCAGTTCCACCGAGCGATTCGCTTGTGACGTTGGGTACTGTCCTCCACCTCGACCGGAGAAAGCGCTGCGAGATCAAAACCAGCAGCAGGTTTCTGACAGCACTGGAGATCATGGAGGAATGACGCTTTGGGACAAAGTCAAGTCACCAAATTCTCTTCCAAAGTTCCAAAAGGCCTCCAAATAGTGAACCACGACAAACTTTGGCTCCTTGTTTCAATCAGTTTGGATATCTTCCGAGCTCTAAGATTCCAATGCAAAGAAATCAACATGTATACTGATCCTTTTACCCATGGGCCCGCGCCTTCCGAGGCCGCGCCCTCTTGAGGCCCTTCCGTCGCTTCTGCTCCACCAGTGGCGCGCAGGCGGCCACCATGGCCACGCAGAGGGTTAGATCTTCCGGGTTTCCCCGGGGTGAGTGTAATTAGTATGTTGTAGCCTCCAAGTTGTTTCCTATGAGAAATGGTTTGTTCGTTCGCAGGGGATGCGCTGGTCAATCTGCCTCTCTCCTAGGCAATTCTCCTGCAGTCTGTCCAAATGTCGCTGGTAATGCCGCAGGAGTCTCGTGAGGCGTCTGCTGAGTCTCAACTGTTGTGTCTGGGGCAATTATGTCTTGAACATTGAGCATGCAGTAGCTACGTTTGTTTGGGAGGTATGGCCACACTGGAATTTCCTAACCCTCCTGTTTTACGTCAACTCTCCTTGTTGCAGAGCACCTCAGAAGAAGTACACTATGCATTCACTACCCTCGTTGACCTGCTCCGTTGCCCTTGCGAGCCCAAGGAGCCTTGCACGTGAGCCAAGCCCCAAACGCGACCGGACCGGACCGGCTCCTCTGCATTGAAGAGGTTGGGCACCTCACCTGTGTTCAGAAGCCCCGACACCTGCCGGTAGCGTGCGAGCCAACGTGTCCAAGACGAACGAGGTCAACCCAGTCAACCCACGTCGTTCGTCTACAATATTAAAAGGTTCACCACTATCGAGGTGATTCGAGGTGTCATGATTCTTGATTGGGGGTCTTTCAGAAAAAAGGAACTGAGACCTTTCTCCGAGTTTGCCACAAAGCAGCACCTTGCTATGGATATTTTCGGTCGGCTGCGGTCAGGCACCCAACAAAGGACCGGGACGACCCTCAGTGAGCAAGAGTTGAAATGGTCCAAAGCGAGAACAAGGTTGGGACAATGACATGCAATGACATTGCTCGAAAAATATTCTAATATCTTCTATATATCTATACTATTATACTGTAATTGTAATGTGTTGTGTCTCTGACAGAATGCCAAGCCTTCAGAAAAGTGTCCTAAAGGTAGTTTGACTCCGCAAGTGCCTCCTCGACAAAGTTTTCATTGGCGATTTGCGTGTCCGGCAGCAAAAAGCAAACCTGCGCATCTGGGTGTGCTTATGGGCCAAAGGCACCAAAACGTGGGGGATCAAACCAATGATTCCTGGCATCATCAGGTCTGGGGCAGTTTCCAAGTACACAGCACAAAGAGGCACTCCCCGAACCGGCGTCTTGACTGCAGCATCGCATGTGAACCAGATTGGCCTTTTCATACCGTTCTCTTGAAGAATGCCCTGAAAGCTTGCCACATCTGTGTATCAAAACATGCATGTTAAGCATGATCCACAATGAACACCAATGAACACATGACTGGGGCCTAAGTTCAAGTGCCGAAACGTTGCTTCAGCTCTCTGTACAGCTCCACATCACACCCGAGATCAACCCCCTCCGCATCACAAGTTGCGACTTCATCCACTGAAAGTTGTGTCTTCCAAAAAGAGGGGCCTCCTTGTTCTGACCGCCACAGCGGATGAGCAATCGTTTCAGATCTTCGTGCCAATCCTGGGATCACTAGTGACGAGGTGTGGCCAGATTCGGCATAGAAGCAGTTGTAAACGGGGAGAGTGTGTGTGCGTGTGTGCAATGCAAGCTTCTTTTCCAGCACATTGCAGCCTGTAAGTTGCACAGGTGTTATAAAGAATTGGATTTCTTAGGGTGCGGGATTGCAATTGGTACAAAACAGCCCTGTGGCTTCAAGCAGGGCAGAGGGCTTGTTCAGCGGACACATTGAGTAAGAGCCGTACATTCATACCATAGCTCTTGGTGATCTCAATCTGGAAGGTTTCCTCACAAAGCATGTCTTTGAAGCATCCGCCGGCATCAATCAATCCAGGGTATAACATGGTATAACTAAAACGCAAGCTTTGACAAGGTGACCTGCACAAGATGGGAGGCCAAGAGCTTCACAAGATCACCCAGTCCTTGAAGATCACTAGAATTCCGTTGAAAAGGTTGTGATCGAATCATTGTGATCTCTCAAATCAATCGTTCCATGGATGAATCGCTTCGCTTCTCGAATCGAAGAGGGCAAAACACCCACGCGTGGCCGCGGAGGCCCACGCGTGGCCGCGGATGGATGTGTTCTTTTTTGGTCCTGCTCTGCCACAAATGCCGCGAGCGTGGCTAAGCTCTTGCGCCCACTTCCACCAACACCCACCTGGCGCGCGCTTTCGCCGAACCTGGTGTACGACTCCCGGTGCGAGCCTAATCGAATTGGTGAAACGAGCCATTTCAATGCAGCACCACGAGAAACACCACCTGCAAACACCCAAATGGTTCACAACTCACATGACCATAGTGCACCCTGCGACCCCTACGACCCCTCGCCGCAAAACGATAAACCCCAAAAGAAGGCCAGCGCCAACTAACTGATAGTCCTACTCCGCCTGTGGGATCAACACAAAGCCGGGCGGACGAGCAGCGCATTGCCCAAGGGGGTCTTCAAGACGCGAACCTGTGCATCAAGACGCCTTTATCCGGTGGTCGGCGATTTTGAGTCTGAAGAAGTGCCCCGACTCTTGGCCTGTTAGATCCCCCACTGCTGTTTTACATAATCAGGCTTTACCCAAAATGGTCCAGGTAGGAGTTCTGGATAACGACCGAAAATTCTTGACTAGGGAGTTTCGGTCGCGACCGGGTGTCGCACTTGGGTGACTCGTGCTGTTTTCGGAAAACACGCTGGGTTGAGAACATCTGAAGCCACGAAAAAGACTATAACTTCTTTGAGGATGGGGCCGCGATCACTGGCTTGATTCTTGATGATTTAACTCACACTTGACTCCCTAGAATCTAGAAAGTCCTCCACAGAGTCACATATATAATGATACAGTTTCATGATGATCATGATTCAATGATATTCAATGTGTTGTCCAAACTTTGTGGGGGGATGCGAAAGAAACCAAACAAAACGTGGATGAACAATAATGGCTTGGTGTGGTTGCAGCATATCTGCAAAGTCCTGCCAGGGCCTCTCTAATCAACCCTAAGAAATTGGTGTATCTCAAATTGGGGGCAGTTCCCCACATGGCCCGGAAGGGTTTGTGAGTGAACATCCATCGGTTTGTGGGTCCAAGGTGGTTGAGACAAGCCCCATATATCGAAAGATGTGAAAGGAGCTGACACTGAAAATACTTCAAGAAACGCGCTCTTCGACCCTCCGCCCTAGGCCTGTCTGCAACGACCGTTTCAGAGCAGCAGAGCAGGGTGCTCGGTAAATGCATGTCATGTCCTGTGTCAACACAACCAAACATGCACGCTCACAGCTCGCTCACAGCTCGGCTGCACGACCACTGGGGCTCCAAACCACTTGACTCACATGCTGCGCAGCCGCCATGAAGAGCACCAAATCCATCCCTCGCTTGGCCATCGTGTTGTACTCCACTAAGAAGTTGTTCAGCACCTGGATGCAAGATGGCCACACAAGGGTGATCATGGGTGTCTCGCGATCTATTTCCATTCTGGTGTACCAGCTTCTGAATCCTGCTGCATAAGAACATTCAGTTGAAAATGGATGCATGGGTGGTGGTCAAAAGCGGATATTGCAGGCACAAACATTCTACGTAGGTAGATAATGGAGCATGTCCAAATCTCCGATCACATGGTCACATGTATCCGGTTTTGGGTTCCCCCATGGTTGTCCACACTGCTTGGATCCTCCTACCTTCTGGCCAGCCATCTGCCCGTTTGCATCTCCAAGCTGAGCGACCCGCACCCCCGGTCGCCAGTCAACTGATAATTGCACAACCCATGGGGTCAAACAGTTCCCCCTAATTGTTGTAAGGCAAGGCTCTACTCTACTGCTATGGTCAAGAGTCTCCAGATCTGCTCCTGGACTCCTTACCAAATGTTGGATAGGTAAAAACGTCCACAACTCCTGAGCTTCGGTCCCTCCATCTTCCACCGGCCACACTGGATCTTGACTTCTTGCCTATACCCTCCCGATTGATGGATGCCTTCAAAGATGCTGGACTTGAATCGAACGTCTGACAGTGAGCTAGCAATTACAAAAACTATAATGACACAAAATGACTATATTTATGCATAAATAAACATATCTCGGGTGATATCGGCTGAGTGCCTTGGTTACCTGGTTTGGATGGCGAAATCGCGAAGAGCCATGACGAGTCAAGAGCCGGAACCTCGTGACCATCCGATGTGCCTCTACAAGCTGAGGAGGATCCTCCACTTGCTGGTAGTAGTTGGCCTGGCCACGAGATCGGTCGGTGACCGGTCGTAATCCGGTCGATCACGACCGGTTCTCCGGTCGTCAGGCATCGAACGGTTCTCCGGTCGAAGCGAAAAGGAACGGGCACTTCCCTATTTAAACAAGCTCCACACACATATCACAGTGGGACTCGAGTGATACATCGCACCAATAGAAGGCCCAACTACCAAAACACTTGTTTTTTCTCGCTCCTTTTGAGCGCAAAGGGAGGAGGCTGGGCCCAGGAGGGTCCGCCAAGGCCAGGACGGCCGAGAGGGGGATCGGCCCACCGCCAGCGGGCAGGCTCGGCGAGACCCACGGGGTTCCTAGTGCGGAGCCAAAACACTCATTTTAGGCTGAATGCTGAGGTTTGAAGGGGTCAAGCAAGGTCTGGATCGCCTGTTTCCCCCCCAAAAAATGTCACCCTGGCAGAGATCCTGTGCCTCCAGCCCCAAATCACCCAAATTTATAGTAGCCTGCAACTCCTGGTCTTATTCTTCTGGATGTCATGGACACGTTCTCCCCCTCTTCGATTCGACAGCTCCCCAGTTCCAGCACACCACGCCACCTTGGGATCCAAAAAGTCACACCAAATCAGAGGCTCCACCTGCCGCACTGTGCTCGGTGGGTGGTGGTCGCAAACCTCCCCCCCCTGCAGTGGATGCAGGTGGCACGTCTACGAAGAAGGCACTCAGGAGGACATGGCCAATCTTTTGCACAGGAGAATGGTTGGAAGCAAACTCTGAAATCCTCATAAAGCATCATAAAGCCCCCAAAGACCTGGTCATATCGGTCATATATGGTCATATGGTATCTGAATGCATGAACACCGCTTCTAGCTGAGCCTTGGGCAAATCTTCATGAACTTCATGAATGGTCTGAAGAGAAACGCCACAATTGGGAATCTATGTTGGGATGTTGCTGGACCTTCAAAAGAATGTGATACGAATGAACATCTCCTCAAAATCCTTTGTTGGTCCACAAGTCCGCAAGTGACATCGATCAATGTTTTTTGCCAGCTGTTTAGAGGGTCTAAGTCATACTGTTGATGTCAGGGGCCCACCCATGGGACGCCGGATGCCTTCACCAAGCCCTTCCAATCCTTTTTGAAGTTCTCCTGGGCCAATTGGAATGAGACCGGGTATCTGGTGCAAACGGGCAGGCGACGCCAGGGTGGCTCAAGGCCCTAGAAAACGCAAGAATTTGGAATTCTGTTGGGTTTAGATACAGCACAGGGGTGATTATGACATTACTACCGTTGCTATGACTACAACTTCTTCACATCTAGGAAGACTGGCTGGCTGGATTGCCCCAAGCCTTAATGCCACATCCAATGGCCAATGATCCAATGGCGTTTCCGCAAGCATCTCTGAAGAGCCAGTTGACATCCAGAAATCCGGGTCCTTCAGAATCTCACTGATCTTGGCTTGGAACCACTGCCTCAGTTGCCGCAGGTGTTCCATGAAAGTTCCACAAAAAAAGAACGACTCCACAGGTGGGTAGAGAAATCCCATCTTCAACCAGAACAGCAAGACACACAAGCCATGGCTTGGATGGTGGGGTGGGAGGGGTGCTGGGCACCATAATATCCACAGAACATCCCAACTTCTTGTAACTATCAACCCACCCTGAGTCGCCTACACTGCGTGTGTGTGTGTGTGTGTAGGCGAAGACGGGAGAGAGAAAAGAAAGAACTCATCAACTGTTGAAGCTACTGTTTGGGCACAAACCGGGCGATTCTTCCCAGCTGCACAACCCCCCCAGACTCTTCTGAAGGGTGCAGTGGGAATTGGAAACATTCAATGAACCTCTGCTTGGATATACCTTAAGGAACCAGGAAAAAATCTTCCCCAGAAGGGGCTTCATGTGGGAAGAACCCCCCCAAAAAAAAAATACAAAACATGTCTGGCCCGAACCGACCTGGGCACATTTAGCGGCGCAGTCCCTTCTACGCGCCATGTGGCTGATCATCTTTGGTCACGAGGCGGTCGTAGAAGACCCGATGGGCTTCGTGGGCCCAGCACCTCTCACGAAGGGTCGAACGACGTGGATGGAAGCGTGCCAGGCGCGGACACACACACCGGTGAAACTGTCCACGAGGTTGCAGCACTAGAGCCAGGGTTGGAGTACAAACCTAAGGAGGTTGTGAGTTGTTCAGTGACGAGGAAGCAGCGAAGCCTGCTTTGGAGACCTTCTGTGGATGAAGCGGCATTTGGACATTGGGTGTTGAGTGGAATTGGTATGGGCCCCCCAAAAGAGAACAGGAGCACAGTGACACAGCTTACATCACACGACGAAAAGGAGTGGTACTCGTTACATGGACATCGCTTGACCCAAATGGCAAAACGAACAGGGAATCTTCATCGAATGGCTGTTGAATCTTCACCGAAGCACCCAGCGCCGGGGCAGCAAGCTACATGAACTGCCTATTCAAGTCCCCCACTGGTTGGTCCATCACAAACCACCATGATGACGCGTCTTGCTGTCACCATCAAAATCAGAACTGTCATAGATCCGGATTCCATCGCAACTGGTTCACTGAATCACGAATACAAACTAAGTTTAATTTGCAAATGTTCTCGGACAGCATGGATCAGGATAGCGTCTTATGACGTCTTATGGCTCCAATACCAAAAAGATACATCTCGATTGGTCTTGATTCTTGGCCTTCAATTCAATTAAACGCGAACAGAAAGAATGAACAGTGGGACCACTTGAACCACTCGAACAAACGTTGTGGGTGGCTATTTCTTCCCACAAACACGCGTGGCGAAGCGGCGCGACTTCTTTTGTCCTTCTGTTTCCTTCTGTGCCGCTGCATCCTGGGTTTGATTGCCTGAGATTTGCCGTCTTCATTCAGGGACCGAAACCTATGCACTTCTCCAATGCACTGCAGATCTCAAGAAAACACCAAAACAATACAACATAACATACTATTAAACGGTACAAGTTCAAAACACTGCCATATGCAGAAGTGAAAGACGCTGCAAAAAATTGCCAAACACGCACACACGCATGGCGCACACACACATCGCAAAACAAACAACGACAAACCGTAAACCAATCAATCCTCGGGAAGAAGTACCAAAAAGGATGCGACATTGTGCTTGGGCAATGTGCTTAGACATTCTACTTGGGAAGTTACATACCTATATATATATATATTATACATACTCCCTTGAAAATGTGTTCACCTCCTCAGTGCTTTTCCCCAAGAATCACCCACCTCGCGACTTCCCTCCTCCCCGTCCGGGTGGCTGACCACCTCCGCCTCAGAGGAGGCAGACTTCACCAGCTCGTAGGCCTGGTCGGCGGAGTCCACGACCACGGACAGCAGGGCATTGAATTCGTTCATCACCTGAGGACCGCACCGACGTTCTCCACGTTCTGAGTGGGAATGGTCGACATGGTCGACATGGTCGAATGTAGACTCCTGATATATAATAAGCGCCCTGCCATAGGAAGAGGTTTTTCAATTCAAATGGGGTGCACCATGGGTCTATTACTCAAGAGACTACCATTGCGGTTTCAAAGGTGACATACGTTGACGGGCTTGCGTGATGTTATCATTGACGTTCAATGCCATTCTCGTGAGGCTCTTCGGCCAAGGAAGGTCGTGTTGGTGAGGCCCGAGGCTCCCGGAATTCTTTCGTGTCAGCTCTTCTGTCCTGCACCCATGTGAAGCTTGAATCTTTGCTCGTGACTGCTCGTGCTTCCGGTCTTCAACCCGCTGGCCATGCCATCTCGGCAGGTCAGGCCGTTGTGCCATGCTCATGTTGAAAGAAAGCAAAATACAGCAATGACCCCGTGGCCAACTGGCCAGGGGAGTCTTACCACCATTTTATAGATATGGAATGGTGGAATTGACCGGCTCAGGGGAAGCAAGCACCCCCAAAGAGAGAATGGCCGTTCTTTAGAATAAGCTGAATTGACCTCAGTTTCTGATGTGAGGTGCGATACAATGACTCTGGGCATCTGTCACCATTTCCACAGCCAAAGAAAGCACCCCGTATTCACCGATTCTCACCGTCTAGGCCCCTTGATTTTCCCATTCCACCATCAGGGGAAATGCACGAGTACCAGCAAAGAAATTTATAAGATGAGATATCCTGACCTTTTCTAGGACAATAGATCCACGTACCCACAGTTTCTAGATGTTTCTAGTATATAAGGTGTTCGATCATATTATTCAACCATGAGGATTTAGTGGCTTAAAAACATCTCCGTTTGCTGCCACATTCATGCCACTCATTTGAGACAACCAAATTGCAACACAGAAGCGCTTCAAACAAACAAGAATTCTCTGTGAAATCGAGACCTGACTCCCTCCAAGTGAGGGCCCTTATATTGAAGGGTGCACCCCCTCCTTTTCAAGGCCAAGGGTAATGCAATTACTTTTTCAAAGACTCCAAGAGCATTCCACCAGTGACTTCGCATTTCGCTTGTACATGCCTGAAGTGTCATCTCTAAGCAGTTCCGGTTACTGTTTGGCAAGTGGCTTCTGCGACTCCGGGCGCCGTTTTGGCGGCGATCCCGTCCAAAGGGCCGGCCAAGATGTTCACCACAAAGTTTTCGTTGGCATTGGCCATCAAGGTCAGCACAGAATTGCAGTCCTCCCGAGTGAGTAAGGGAACCGAGTCGGAAGAGGAGGCAAGGCTTGGGTGCTCCCAAAACTATATGGAATCCCGAGTCAATCCACAAAGCACGCAAAACAAAATTCATGCATAAAGAAAAACGCACCAAAAAACAAAACAAACACAAACACACACACACACATATATATATATATTACACAATAAGCACCCCAAAAAAATCCATAGAAATCCAACACTTCACGGGTGGTCTTCGACTCTACATAGTATACATGTGTATACCACCACACCACAGCAACATGCAACTACACATCCGGTTCTCCCACGGTCCACTTGTCGGAGCACGTCCAAAAGCTTGGAGGGCTGAACGCCGGACACCACGGAGGCGGTCTTGTTGGCCTCCATGAGCCGGATCAAGGGCGTCACCTTCCTCGAGTGGCGGCGAAACCGTCGGAAGAAGACGGGTCGACGGAGTGATCGGTGTCCGTCCGATGAGACGAGTGTCATGGAGCACGGTGGAGTGTCGTGGTGCCGGTGTCGAAGCGGGGGCTTTGCACTGGTTTCGTGGTGAAAAAGACACGAGGTTCTAGAGATGCCATCAACAAATCACCTGATCAATCTGGGAATGTTGGAGGAGGTGCATTCAGAATTATTGGATCAGTAAATAGTAGGGTAACTTATCTGATTCCTAGTCCTCATTTCTAGCAGAACCCTAGAAAAGACCAAGGACGCAAAACAAAATCACAACGTAACTAGCCAATCCCATCCAATCCCAGATTCTCTTGTAAGAGTTTGTAATCTCTGGAGGCTTCCTGTAGCAGCTGAACTACCGGGCCATCAGGCTCAAATCCTTCGTCATCTTCGAAGACGTTCACCAAGGTGGCCAGCTGTTCTCCAGGTACATGACGGAGAAGATGCAAAAGCACCTCCTGGAACCCCGGGTCTTGACATACGTCGGATGACACGGAACATGAACCTTCTCATGACCATCTTCTACAGAACCATGCATGACCAGTCGTCCCAACTGACACCAATACATTCTTTTCCAAAAGGATATAATATATAGTGTACGTATATATGGGTGAGTTGTCTGAGCTGACCCTGGCATTCCAAGGATGGAGCCGTTGGGTCCGGTTCTCCCACAAGGTCATGCACTCTTCAATCTCATCGGGCGATGAGAAGAGATGACAAGAAACCTTGGAAGAGCCCAATCCTTCTCCACCGCATTGATGACGAGCGCCAAGCGCTTGGGGTGGCGGACTCGGAGTAGGAGTGGTAGCAGCCCATGATCAATGACTTCCTGAAGGTGCAATTAAGTCAACTTTTCGGCCATAAACAAGATGGAGCCCACGAACCCGAATGCAAACACGTTCAAAAAGCTACATATGTCCAAATGACACTCTTGTAGGACACTCTTGTGGGGCACTCTTCTGGGACACTCTTGTGGGACACTCTTGTGGGACACTCTTGTAGGAAACTCTTGTGGGTCACTCTTGTAGGACACTCTTGTGGGACACTCTTGTAGGACACTCTTGTGGGTCACTCTTGTAGGAAGCTCTTGCGGGGCACTGTTTTGGGACACTCTTGTAGGACACTCCTGCGGGACACTCTTGTAGGACACTCTTGTGGGACACTCTTGTAGGACACTCTCGTGATCCACTCTTACGGGGCACTCTTGTAGGACACTCTTGTGGGACACTCTTATAGGACACTCTTGTGGGTCACTCTTATGGGACACTCTCTTGTGAGACGCTCTCGTAGGACACTCTTGAGAGACACTCTTGTCGGACACTCTTGTGGGTCACTCTTACAGGACACTCTTTTGGGACACTCTTGTAGGACACTCTTGTAGGACACTCTTGTGGGACACTCTTGTGGGACACTCTTGTGTGACACTCTTGTAGGAAACTCTTGCGGGACACTCTTGAGGGACACTCTTGTAGGACACTCTTGTAGGACACTCTTGTGGGACACTCTTGTGGGACACTCTTGTGGAACACTCTTACAGGACACTCTTACAGGACACTCTTGTGGGACACTCTTACGGGACACTCTCGAAGGACACTCTTGTGGGACACTCTTGTAGGACACTCTTGTGGGTCACTCTTGTGGGAGACTCTTGTCGGGCACTCTTGTGGGACACTCTTGTGAGACACTCTCGTAGGACACTCTTGTGGGTCACTTGCAGGACACTCTTGTGGGACACTCTTGCGGGAAACTCTTGTAGGACACTCTTGTGGGACACTCTTGTGGGACACTCTTGTGGGACACTCTTGTAGAAAGTTCTTGTAGAAAACTCTTGTGGGACACTCTTGTAGGACACTCTTGTGGGACACTCTTATCGGACACTCTTGTGGGACACTCTTGTAGGACACTCTGGTGGGACACTCTTGTAGGACACTCTTGTGGGTCACTCTTGTGGGACACTCTTGTGGGAGACTCTCGTAGGAAACTCTTGTGGGATACTCTTGTAGGACACTCTTAAGGGACTCTTGTGAAACACTCGTGGGCACTGTTGCGGGACACTCTTGTGGGACACTCTTGTGGGACTTGTAGGACATTCTTGTGGGACACTCTTACGGGGCACTCTTGTAGGACTCTTGTGGGACACTCTTATAGGACACTTGTGGGACACTCTTACGGGACACTCTTGTAGCACACTCTTGTAGGACACTCTTGTGGTCACTCCTATGGGACACTCTTGTGGGACACTCTTGTGGGACACTCTTGTAGAACACTCTTGTAGGACACTCTTGTGGGTCACTCTTACAGGACACCCTTGTAGGACACTCTTGTAGGACACTCTTGTGGGACACTCTTGTGGGACACTCTCTTGTGGGACACTCTCTTGTGGGACACTCTTGTGGGACACTCTTACGGGACACTCTTGTGGGACACTCTTGTGGGACACTCTGGTGGGACACTCTTGTGGGACACTCTAGTAGGAAACTCTTGCGGGACACATTTGTGAGACACTCTTGTAGGACACTCTTGTAGGACGCTCTTGTGGGTCACTCTTACAGGACACCCTTGTAGGACACTCTTGTAGGACACTCTTGTGGGACACTCTTGTGGGACACTCTTGTGGGACACTCTTGTAGGACACTCTTGTAGGAAACTCTTCTGGGATACTCTTGTTGTAGGACACTCTTAAGGGACACTCTTGTGAGACACTCTTGTGGGACATTGTTGCGGGACACTCTTGTGGGACACTCTTGTGGGACACTCTTGTAGGACACTCTTGTGGGACACTCTTGTAGGACACTCCGGTGGGACACTCTTGTGGGACACTCTTGTGGGACACTCTTGTAGGAAACTCTTGTGGGATACTCTTGTAGGACACTCTTGTGAGACACTCTTGTAGGACACTCTTGTGGGACACTCTTGTGGGGCACTCTTGTTGGGACACTCTTGTGGGACAGTCTTGTGGGACACTCTTGCAGGAAACTCTTGTGGGACACTCTTGTAGGACACTCTTGTGGGACACTCTTATAGGACACTCTTGTGGGACACTCTTAAGGGACACTCTTGTGAGACACTCTTGTGGGACACCGTTGCGGGACACCATTACACGCCACTCTTGTAGGACACTCCCAATGGCACTGTGACATCGCGAACGTCGTGTCGCCACACGGTCTGCCCACACACTAGAAGCAGTCACGCGAGCGTTTCGTACGAGACTTCCTCCAAAAGTCACGCTTCGAGGCTGCAAGACGAGCGTTTCGTACGAGACTTCCTCCAAAAGTCAGTCAGGCGTCAAGTCTCCAAAACGAGCGTTTCCTCCAAAAGTCACACGGCAAGTCTCCAAAACGAGCGTTTCGTACGAGACTTCCTCCAAAAGTCACGTGTCAAGTCTCCAAAACGAGCGCTTCGTACGAGACTTCCTCCAAAAGTCACACGTCAAGTCTCCAAAACGAGCGTTTCGTACGAGACTTCCTCAAAAACTCACGGGTCAACGTACGAGACTTCCTCCAAAAGTCAAGCGGAAACACCCATCGGAGCACACACATCACGCAGCCCTGCCACGCAGTTTCGCGAGTCCAGCCCCTCCAAACAACACCCGCTCACACGCCAGTCCCAATGCGACAGCGACATTCACCTCCACCTGCACAACCTCACGATTCCCTGCGCCTGCCACGAAAATCGCACTTCCACACCTCAAAACACGCACAAACTACTGCGCCTGCCACGAAAAATGACAATATCATCTCATGTGAGCTTCCACAAAATTTACACCGCACCACACGTTTGGAATGATTTCGACCCGTTCTGAGCACACTCCCATCCACCAAAATCGCCATTTCAGCTGAGACTTGTCACGAAAACAGAGCTTCGATGCCACACCCTGAAACGCAAATCCCAATGGCACGGCCACATCCAAAACCCAAAAAACACGACTCCCAAAACGCTAATCCCAATGGAACTGCGCAGTAATCTGCGGATCTCACAAAACGCTGCGCCTGTGCAGCGAAATGCATCACGTTTCTTGCGCGACATGTCATTGTCATGCAAATCACAATGGAATAGCGGCGCAAACTGACACGTGACACATCCATGAAAAGTCACTTGCAAAAGCTTCCCCCAATGGCAGCGAATTTGAGACGCACCGACTACGACAAACGACGACAGACGACGAGACGACGCACGCCACGCGAACACAGCTCCAACCCCCAGACCCCCAACTATAAACGGGAACCCTTCGCTACGCGTTCGGGAAAAATTGTGGGCAATGTCCTTTCTCTAGCAGCATTAAACTGCCTAGAAGCTGCCATGTTGAAGCAGCAATCTGGGGGCCAGAAACAGATTCGCAACAAAGCCAACTCACCAAGAGAATGCCGCGGCCTATCTGATATCTTTAACCGTTTCAACGATTCAACACCCGTGTCAACCCGCTGTCCTGTGGCTCCAAAAGCAAGAAGAGAATGGTCTCCCTGACCTTGTTTGGTGCCACATGGCTCAGCAGTTCCACCATGGTGTCAGGAGATGCTCGACACACTGACAGCAAGTGGGTGGGAGGCACCCGACTCAGCATCTGAAGCAGGTTGCCTGGCTCAAGAAGATTCATGACAGCCGCCAAGGTGAGGTGCACCTCCACTTCATTCAGAAGACTGGGCAATGCACGACACAAGCACTCGCTCGAGAGGCCAAAAAGCAAGGAAGACCAGGCCGATTTCACGGGTGCCATGGGGGCCACCGTCAAGAATCTTCGGAGGGCATTCACCTTCAAATGCTTCATTAGGCGAAGCGCTGCTGTGGGCCGCTGCGAGCTGACCACTGCCAAGTGGGGGTAGTCTTTGAGGATGCACAGCAGCGAACAAATACCAAACGTCGAGTTGTCTGACCAGCACCAGGTGCTGAGGGGCTGGCAACAGGACATGCAGGCAGTGAAGCTATGAAAAGGCAGCCATGGCTTGTCGGATCCTGGGCGGCAGGTACTTTATTTAATCTGATTTGGAACGATTGGTGGGTTTTTCTAGGTCATAAATGGCTCACTTGCGGCACCAGTCCTCAAGAGGGTGCTTCGACGAACATGAACCGCGCGGACGCTTCCAGAAGCGGGAGATGTGTCGTTCTGATAGGCTTGCGGATATCAAATATGAAGTAGGTATCTCTGAGAATCGTACCTGCCGGTGCTGACGAAAAGGGACTGCAGGTTGAACATGGCGGCAAAATGTGGCAAATGATTGCCATGGGGCAATGCAAATCTTTCAGAAGTAAGTCTCCCAACAAGCCCCCGCAGAAGTCAGGAGGCCTTGATTGGATGAACTATTTAACAAGAACAGCCATCCCCACAAAGATCAAAACGTCCAACATGCTCTCAAGGCGTTCTCGGTGCCTCGTGAAGCACTCCTGAGGCGAGAAGAGAAACAACACAAAAAATCCGCTCACCTGGCCAAATCATCGGCGGCTTCCATGGACCTCTTCTGACAACGGCAAATGCCCAAATGAACCTGGACGGTGGAGTCAGTGGAGCTTTCATGGCACTTGGCCATGGACTCTTGGAGGATTTGTGTTGTTTGGATCCATGAATGAGAGGGTTCATTCAAAGATATTCAAAGGCCAAAAAATTCTGTCTCCAAACACCAAGCCTGGTGAACCAATTGGGTTTGCCTGGGACATAGAACGGGGAAGAACGGGGACGAGCTAGCCTTCGCTGGTCTTCGTCTCCAGAAGCATGCATATATGATCCATAGAAGTGTGTCGACCTGTATGTTGCACCAGAAAAATCAACCCCTAAATAGACAAACAAGATCAAACACAGTAATTAGATCTTCTCGTGGCAAAAGCTGCAACATGGTTTCTACCGTATGACATTGCGTTCAATTCAACACATCAAATATCAAAACAACACCCCAATGGCTATTCCGCCTTTGCGAGGTCCCGCAGGTTGAACGTGTAGTGACCTGAATCGATCGATGGAGAAAACACCGACCTACGTGTGCGCCGGGTTTCACTCACATCAGGCGGGTTGGCGCAAATGCCAAACCCAAGAAGTCACTGCATGTTCGCTAAGTCAATGTAGACTCCTTGATTCAAACATATTGAAACTATATAGCCCACCCATATTTGGATGCGCACCTGGGAAAACCTCTTCATATGGGGTTTCTTGATCAAGAGTCTACACATGATGGGGCCTGGGATTTCTCCTGCAAAAGTGGGGAGCTTGATGGAGCTTGAGACCCTCCAGAAACACAACGTTCAATCATCACCCCTCCACTAGCCAATGACCTCAAGCAAGAACAATAGCGACCGCATGAAACATGGAGATCCATCTGACCAAGCCAGAACGAATGTATCTCGCTGCACGCGTGGGAAGCTGTGGACACGCACGAGCATAATCAAGCATAACATGGTTTTGATACTTCTCCTATATAGCGGTGCAATTGGCAGCTTTGGCTTGAATATGCTTGAATAATTCAGGGTAATCAAGAAGAATCAGTTCTTGCAAAGTTTCAGGACGCTTCAGTTGCTGACAGGTCCTCCGGAAGACAGGCTCCCGGCTCTTTGCGGGGGTCGGAAGCATCTCAGCCGACATGTCCTGGACCCCGGTCCGAGGTGGCAATTAGAATATACAAAGAAAGTAACATGTATGTTTCTAACATCGTCGAGGGTTCCAAGTTAGCGTGAAGTGAAGTAAACTTAGCGTGAAGTGTTCCAAGTTCGGAAAAGATCGTAGCGACTTCGAGGGTTCAACATCGCTGCTGTATACAGCAGCTGTTGGCTGAGGACACAGTGAACATCATGCCAACAACTGAAGTGTCAAGATTCACAAAATGACCACAGTCAGTACCAAAGGACACACTCTGGTACTCACTCTGGTGTATTCTGGTGTCTCTGCAAGCATCCCAGTGGTGAAGAACTATAACCAGCTGAGTCAGTTCGCCTCGGGCCACAAGCCCTCTGAAGAGGGCTCCTCAGCTCACCCGATCGACCACGCCCGCGGAGCGCTGGTGCCTCGTAGAGTTGGATCGTGGACTTCACGACCTGGACGGATCCGCGCGAAGCGCGGAAAGCGGGGAGGCCGCTGGGGAGGAGGCCGCGCAGGGTTCAAAGGAGACCTGACATCGGCCTGGGACAACAGCAAGGCCTGATGGTCCTTCTTCCTCGGGATTCGTAACCACAAGGCTGCTAAGGGATAGGTCTTTCAAGGGATATGTGGCTATGCATTAGTTTCCCACAAGACGCATGAACAACAAAGACCCGTTGGTGCTTTCAGTGTTAAGTCTTTGCAACTTGATTCTTTCCTCCTCAACAGCTCTTTAACGACCAGAACTTGTTCTGATTCATTACATTTGCTCTTAGCCCTAGCTCCCTAGCTGACACCGAGAGCCCGGTTTAAGAACACACACACCACACACACACACACACAACATACAAACGCACACACACACACCCCACACACACACACACAACCCGACCATCACCTCGGAGTTTGACGACACTCCCTTGCCAAATCTGATCGCCTTCCTGCCACTTAATTGTGGACTCTTGATTTAAACTGACCCCCGCATCATGGATTGAACAACTTCTTCACATGTTCTTTTTCAGAACAGGGGACTGTGGTATATGAGAAACAAGAAAAAGTGTACTACCACAGTCCCCAGCTCTCTTTTTTCTCCTACATTACCTTAGGACTCACATATTGAACTTCGAGCGGCCGCATTGGCCACGCCGGCCACGGCACCAGGAAAGCGCCCCAGGAACCACTGCATGATGGTCTGGAAAATCCTGAACGAAGCCGGAAAGTTCCCGAGAAACATCTATTCTAGAAACTCATCGCCCTGTCCATTCTAGAGCGGGAGGTCCTGAGAGTCATTTTATAGATGTGAAATGGTGGTCCCAACCCGCAGGGCAGATAGAAACTCTAATTCTCTCCCTCTCTCCCTCTCTATCGACGCTATCAAGCCCTATCAATCTCTATCGACTCTATCAGGACAAAGGTTGGTGGGCTTATACCCAACCCACTGCAGCGTCTGAGTGAAAATGGCACATCCTTGTTCTCAAAGGATGGTTATCGCCTGCACGTGCAACAGATCGCACCTCCATTGGTCCATTCCATAGGTAGCTCTAGCACTTCTCAGAAGAATGAAGCACCGTATTTGCAATAAGTGATAACCACTGTGACAGATGAGCTTGACTCTCGAGTCTGGAGTTGCTTTTTCTTGCTTGGCTGCCTTGGCTCCAGCTGAATCATGACAGCCCCATGCTTCAACGTGGAGGGTCCGGCGATGTCCGGCTATACTACTAGGTTCAAGTCAAGGGACGTGGAACGGTCCACGCTGCATGTCAAGGGACGTGCGCAAATGGCCGGAACTTCCCCTGACCATCCATAAACCAATGGACCTAGGGGACTGAGACCAAGCATTGGGGTGACCGAGAATTGCACTCTCTCAGTCTCTCTCAACTCCTCTGCAAGCTCTCTTGCTCGAAGGGCGTGACCTCACTGGACTTGATAGTCAGTCTCAATATGTCAAAAGTAACATATTGACACTAATTAATAGAGCACGCACGTCACCCAAGAAGCATCTGCCGGGTCATGTTGGGTGGACAAAAACACGGGTTTGGAAGAGTTCACAGTTGATCATGTGACCAAGCAGCGCCTTCGGGGTGGTGCTTTGAGACTTACATCACACAGATCCGGGTATCCGCCTCTTTAGTGGTCAAGCCAAGCCCATCGAAAAGGGCTTAAAGGCTAGCTGAACAGATAGTAAGTAGATACACATGGCATTCATATAATCACATCATACCATACCAGTATCACCAATTGGCATGGTGTTGGCCCACTGAACTTTCTATACCACTCTCTCGGAGTCCCCTCAGCCGCAGGCAAAAAAGAGGTTGAAGTGTCGCTGAAACCGCCCAGTCAGGAAAGGCCTGATCCGTCCCGTCACGCGCGAGGAGCGAGCACATGGGCCGAGGGCCTTCTTGGTTCCATACGGGTGTTGTGCATGCACTGCATGAAGAAACTCTGAAACCCAGCTGAACTTCTTCAGAACAAGCAGAAATGTGTGGGCATAATATGTGCAAATGGTAGGAGAAGTATTGCAACCTTCAGCATGTTGTTGTCAGAGGGATCGCTTGTGTGGTTGAAAGATGTTGACAAGCGGGAAAGGGCCTAGCCTCTCCCAGTTCCCAGCCCACAGCTGTGGGTCTGGGCAATAGCTATTGCTATCCGTAACGTGGTTGCAATGTAAGGAACCGGGGGTGAGTAAAAGAAACTTAGTACTGCAGGCACTTACTACGAACACACTGGCGTTGCAAATCATACTACTGAAAAACATTGAAGGGACAAATGCTGGTGGGATAAAGGATGAAAGCGTGATTAACCTGCATCTTTGCGTGCCAAAAGGGCTGAGTTCTCAGAACAAGGCCGCCTTGCAACGGTGGTCATTAACATGTCATTAAGATATTAGACATGGAAATATGATCCCTTCGTAAAGGAAGGTGGTTCTGAAAAGGCTCCTATACATGGATGACCGGTCAGTAGATCATATATTCATATGTTCTTCATGGCCCACTGCTCGGGTTCATGCCGCTCAGTGAACAAACCGTCGGCCCCCCGGCCGCCCAGCCCCTGGTGGGCCCATGGCGCCGATAAAGATCCTCAGCTCGTTCGTTCCGTTCGACCGTTGGACCGGGCCGAAGCGATCCCATGGAGCGATTTCCCTGGTCCAAAACCATTGAGTCCTCTAGCACCCAGTGGTTTTCTGATGGCTTTGGGGGTCCATGTACTCCTCTGGTCGTTTAGGGCTGCATAGATCATCCTGAAAGGACGACCCCTCCAAGCACCTCCCACTGTTAGGTCGGTGAACATTCCCTTAGTGACTGGTTTGGCGGGAGCCCGATGGAGCCCGTGCACCGCCGGTGGTCTTGGCA